CTTGCAGTGCAGACTGCAGGCAGGTCAAGGTTACAGGCAAAGAGCTGTTAGTGTCAACTGTAATGCTAGTCTTAATATTTGTCTTAATGTGTAAGGTTATGTCCAATTGTTTTAGATACACACCACGAAAACAACAGTCACACACCTTGACTTTTCCTCATGTTTTGGCTAACGTTATAGCCAGCTGCAAAGCTGGCTTATCAGGTGACGTCACGGTTTTGACGCCCCGAGTAGCATGGGCTAGCCCAAAAAATGATTAAGATTATATAGGTTTGGTGGTCCAGACATCTTGATCTTTTTCTGCTGCCTGCGCGCAGGTAGAGGGTGAGAGAAAGATCTGGACGTGTAATGTAAATTTTACCTGTGTTCCTCTGAATAAACCAGCACGGTTATTTTTTATAAAATCTAAAGCAGTCTACTTCGTCTCATTGAGAGTTCCTGGTTTAAAAGAACCGGAAGAAGCTTCAGAAAAATAGTAGCTTATATTATAAATTACAAATTAAAATTCTGCTCATCCTTTTCATTCAGACATAATTCTTCATCTCAGACTGAAGTTCTGCTTATTGAGGACCAGCACTGGTCTATTTCTAGTAGATATGTTAGGTCTGTTAAACTCTGATATGTTTGCTTCGTCCAGCTCATTTTTAAACAGCACTGTAGTTACCGCACAGTGAAAGAGGAAAATCAGACTGTAAAAAACAAGCTGGCAAAACTTTGAGAAGCCAAGGGCTTAAACTGGTTGCCAGCTCTGGTGTTCTACATGAGAACCAGACAAAGTTTCTTCATTACCAGTGTGATGTTTATATAGAAGCAGACCAACACAACAATGATCAGCTCAGCTAATAAAAGAATGTTTTGGAAAATACACTTACATACAGTATTCGCTTTCATTTGCTAGCATAAAGACTGGAAGCAGAGGGAAACATGGTCAAGCACCTTCTCTAAAGCTCACAAAGTATGTAACTTGTTTGTTATGTGTGAAAATGAGCTTTTAGAAGGAGCTACATGTTAAAATTGCTTCTGGCTAATCACATTCTGGCTCCTGCCCTTATGTATCATGTAACACATACTTTACATGAAAATGGTATTTATCATGTCATCTCACTCTTTAAATAAAATGAATAAGCAGAGCTGGCAAAATGTTGACCTACTTCTTTAAAGATAATTAAAGAAAGTGTCTGCATTGATGCCCTGAGTTAAAGATGAATTCACAAGAAGGAAGGATACCTTTTTGCTCCCTGCCCCTGGACGTTAGTACTGTAGTAACTAACCAAAAAGCAGCTGCTGCAGATGTTAATCTTATAACACTGTAATTGTGAACGTGTTACCAATAACATTTGCCTAATTAAACCACTAGCAGACACAGAGCAACACTGGAATGTATTTGGAGTCATTCTTCAGTTGGGAATGTAAGCTTATATTCACTCTCCTTTTAGCTCTGGTTTGGTCTCCAGCAGCTCCAGGAAGAAATATCTGGCTCTTCAGCAGCTAAAGTCTCTACTATGCTAACATCTAAATGCATCTATCTGGTGCTGGACAAGTAGTGTACAGTGGGTACATGCACTAATCAGAAGCCTGCTTGTGTTAAGCCACTAAATAAACACACAAACAGGGTTTTTAATGGGACAAACAGTTGATGTGATTAATCAAACTGATCCACTGTTGGCCTTTTTGCATTTGAAGGCTAGAATGTAGGTTAATGTCGACAGACACTAGTGTACAACATGACTCACCCTCTTCATCGGAGACATCAGCACTTCAGTCATGGTCTCTGGAACATTAAGCTTGTGTTTCTCTGTCACCGTCTGGCAGCACGGGAGGAAATGGATCCCATTAACCATCGTTCACACCGTACATGAACCATCTTCCTCAAATGACTGCAGTTCAAAGAATACTCTCTGAAAAGTGGTTTACAGCGTTTGTCCTGTGATGGAGCATCATTGCCAGATAATGAGGAGGTAGAGGAGAGAGCTCAGGCTTATTATAGCTTCTTCCTACAGTAATTCCTTCACTGATGTTACTGTTATTACATGTTTATGACAAAATCCATGTTGTAATTATAAAACGGCCAATGCACACAACACACAAGTGCATCAGAAAGCAAACAAATATGAACAACTAATGTCAGACAAAGTATACATTTAAAGGTAATTATACCCGAAATGTATGGATACAGTGCTATATTGCCAATGTGAAGTATTTTAATACACACACAGCCAACCCCGCCATCCTACAGCCGTCTTGTCAATAAGTTACATCTCTCATGACATGAATGTGCCAAAGGTAACTGAACCATACAGTAACTTTTCACTTTGACTATTATAAAGCTGGCAGACAGATCAGATCCAGGAGCAGTCATAACCAGTGATCCCGCCAATGAAGAACTGGTTTCCTGATTTCTATAATATGAGGTTGGCTACACACAGTGGGTGGGTGTGACTTACTGTTGTGGTGGTGATGATCTCCTCTGTGAGGACCCTGAGAGTATCCACCACAGAGATGTAGCCCAGCCTCCGAGCAATACCCAGAGCAGTGTTACCATTCTGGACAAGGAGAAAAAACTAATGAGATGTGTGTGTGTCGATGTGTGTGCACTTTGTTTGTGTGTGTTTACAGTACATACCACAGTGATAGCGTTGGGCTTGGCACCGTACTGGAGCAGTACGTTAATAATGTGTGTGTTTCCTTGCTGGGCTGCCTGGTGAAGGGGAGTGTATCCATTCTGGGAAGGAAATATTTCAGCACATAGGAGGAAAAATGAAAATCTATCAATAAATAAACTGATTACTTATCATTTGATTGAATCATTTCTTAACAGTCAGGCAGCTGATATCAAATGGGCTGTGTGAAAACTAAAACACACCTGGTTAAATTTGTGAGGTTGTCTGTAATTCACAACATATTGTTGCCACATGACAAAAAGGAAATGACTGATCTCATTATAACATTTTCTATGTTGTTTACTTTCCCATTTTAACAACATACATTGGTATTATGTAATAATGAGAGCACAAAATAAAAGGATATGTTGTTACAGTGAGAAGTTTGTCAAAATGGAATCATTTGTTTCAACAAAATATGCCATTATATAAGAGCAGACCTGACTAAAATGTGAAACTGAACAAATATTTGTTATGGCTGGCAATACGATGCTGATCTCGTATGAATTAGCAGCATCAAGCTACAATACTAACAATAAATGCTAAAAGTGGTGCATGTTCTTAAATAATAACGATTACCTGAGCACTGTAATCATTTTACTTTAGTTTCTGTACCTTGGTCTTGGCGTTGACACTGGCTCCATTGTGAAGCAAGAAGTTGACCATCTTGGCGTTTCCATAGTGACATGCTACAAGTAATGGGGTGTAGCCCAACTGAAAAACAACAAACATATGATTAAGATGATGGTTTCTGCAGAATGGGAGGCGACTCTGAATAATGTTATAGCCAGAAGGTACAGTAGAAAACGATGAAACTGAAACTAGTATGACTGATCATACTTTGGTCTGCTGGTCAAGGTTGGCTCCATTTCTGGCGAGGATCTCTGCAACAGCCACTTTGTCCTCCTGAGCTGCCAGATGGAGGGCAGTCAAACCACTCTGCATGGGAACACACACACACACACACACACAACTGTTGCTATAGTCACAACTGTCAGACTCCAACCAAATTCTGTCCATTCTTTCCTGTCAAGTAAGCTAATGCAGCTAATCTGACACTGCTACCCTAAATACAGTAGGTTGGGCTGGTAGCTAGCATCTCTATGCCCCGTTAACTACAAAGATTTTCTGATTTTTACTGATTCAGTAGTATTCAGACACACTGCAGCTTCAGCCAACCGCAGCCAGGCACAGTACCTTAAGTGAAACACTGTCCAGCTAGTTTCAAAATTCAGTACTTCCCCAAAACCGCTTGCTTGATCTGGTAATTCCATGTGCATTATTTACTGATGTATTACTCAAAACCAACCCAGTCTTCTACTGTACCTTAGTGGGGACGTTGACCTGAGCTCCTTTGCTTATGAGCAGGGCAGCCATGGCAGCGTGGCCCTCTTGGGAGGCCAGATGGAGTGGAGTGACACCCTGCTTGGTCAAGATGTTGGTCTCAGCCCCATGCTGCAGCAGGACTGTGGCTATTTCCATTTGGTTCTTCTTGGCCGCAATGTGGACAGGAGTGTAGCCGTTCTGATTCATAAGGACAGGGGAGCGATAACGGGGTTACTGCTAACATACAGATAGCACTGCTTGTTGTGGTTGCTACTTTGGGAACTATTATACGACTGGCACTGAAAGTGTCCAACAAACAAGCACTGTGTGTGTATATCACTGTCCTTCATTACCATGAACACACACGCCGTAGTTATTTTGACTTGATCGTAAACACACGGTCCTGCTGCCAGAGCATAAAATGTGAATTCATCTACCACTCAAATAGTCCCCAACAAAAACACTGTATCCTCCTGATAAAAATTACAGTGAGTGACTGTTTTAGGAAATTACACGACACTTGTATAAATCTTATAACACAAAAGTCTATTTTTAACCTTAAAAACGGCCACAAAGTAAACTCCAAGTCAAATTACTAGCTTTTTTCCAGAACTTTCAAATGCATCTCATGATCTTCCTCAGCAGATGATGTTTCTTTCTCACGACTTGCATATGGCGCTTTGGTCACATGATACCAGGTGAGAACTCCATGCTCCCTTGTTTTCAATGTTCAAATGATCTTTTATTATCTTCATATACTGTATGCACTGGATGTATAAGTTTTGCTGGTCACAGAATGTACAAAAGAACACATATGCGTGTTACCAGGTAAAAACTACAAGTGAGAACAACCTATTGCAACAAATGTTACTAATCCATATTTCATTTCAGTTAAGACTTATTACGAGGGAGCATTTTATACTTGTCCGCTCCAGACATGATCAGCAGTCAGTAATAGATGACACTGTGGACTCTCACCTTGGCCATGACATGGGGGGACGCTCCTCTGTCCAAAAGCAGGAGCGCCACCTTCTGGTTGTCATAATGAGCTGCGACATGGAGCGGGGTCAGGCCGTTCTGTAAGGGACGGACAGTGAGCGCACGTGGATTAAACAGCAGTTAGTACAGCATGAAGCCAGTTAATTGATATATGACTGTGGGGTTGAGATGAATTATAGTTATATTAGACAGCAAAAGCTACATGGATCAAGGTGGGTCCTTAAAATGACACAAAGAGGATCATATTCGAAGCAAAACAACAAACGTCATGTAAAAAAGATTCTGTTATTTGTTTTATGTTTTCTGGAATGAACCATAAATAATCCAAAAGATGTTTTGGCCGATTTTATTCTGACTAAGTTTACTGGAGCTCTCATAGGTGTAACTTAACCTCAGTGCAATAAAATATTAACACACCATTTAAATTTGCTGACTTTTTACATTTAAATGCTGGGAACATTTAACAGTGTGAATACACGACTCCTACTTTACATGATTGCACATCATAAAGTGTTGGTGTATTGTTAAATATATAAACATAGGAGTTATAAAGTTATTATTTTGCAGCTTACCTTGCCAGTGGAATCAGGAGGAGCGCGGCGCTGCAGCAGAAGTTTGGCTACATCTAGGCTTCCATACTTGGAGGCCACATGCAGGGGAGTAAAACCTTTCTGTAGAGAAACAACCGGAGAGGAGAAAAATGTGTTTCAAGTCAGGGAATACAGGATATACACATTATTTCTCCACACAAAATAAAAGGAGGAAAAGCACAGGTGTTGCTAATGACAGTAACGTAGACCTGAGCCAGCATGAACAGTACCAGGATCCTGAAACTGAAGCAGCTACAGTACAGGGAATGCAGAGACCACTCAGTTTCTTCTTACACCTGTGCTTTTCCTACCACCACAGATCAAAATGTCCTCTGTGGAAAAAGTCCATAACACGGCTTTCAATAGGTTGACGGAGATGAAATGCCTGCCAGCCACCTCACATCCATAACAGTAAATAGTTATTTCAACAGTTTATAAATGGACAAATGACTACATAAAATATTAATTCATCCATACATAAAACACTGGTTCCCTGTTGGAATATGAAGCCCATGAATGAATAATAAGAAACACTGACATTATGGGATACTGGGGCTCGCAAGGATTTAAGTGGAATGTGGGCTATGCAGGGTCCCCGAGAGGCCTCCAGGACTTCCCTAGTTCTTTATATTGCCAAAGATGTTTTTAAGTATGCTTTTGGCATCTTAGCCATTTATTAAAGAAAATACAGGAAATGAAAGGAGAGAATGATGGAGAACAACATGCAGCAACGGTTCCCTAAATAACCTAAATGTAAGGTTCAGAGTCTGCACCGTAAAACCTCCACATGGTGCCACTTGTCAAACTATCTTAATGATAATTCTAATTTTGTACTGAAAGACAGAAAATATAACTATATTCTTCTCTTAGGGGACATGAAACCTCATGAGATACAAATCCCTGGGGCCTAATGAGTGTCTGTTCTGTTAGTGACAAAAAACAACAAAGAACATGCAGTGGGCTGATGCAATGCAAGGTAACTTTAAACCAAATATATTAAATACATTTAATATGAAATTAATTGACAACAAAGCCAGCAGAGGGCGCACGTTAACTGTTTGAAAAATGAACCACACTGAGGGTGACAGAAACCACATGACCAGTGTGTGTATGACCCAGATCTGTGCATGGAGGGAGCAGTCCTTTGTTTCTCCAGCCACAGATTATATCTGATGTAAAAGGTGTTTGCACAGAACCGAGAGAGAGAGAGAGAGAGAGAGAGAGAGAGACAGCAGACTGGGACATGGAATAAAATATTCAAAGTGTCATACATTGTGAGCAAATCAAGGATAAGACTGTTAGGAACAAATGCCTGGTTGGATGGAGTCTTACACTTGCATGGCAACATTCCCTAGTTTGGTTTCCATAATGAAAGCTACACCTTTCCTCTCCAAGAAAGAAACACTGAAGAAGAGAGGAGAAGCACTGAACCCTGATGAATACTGCATCGTTTTATAATCTCACCCTTCATATTATACTTTGACTAAACTGAAAGACTAATATGTCCTGGACTTTATGCAACATGAAGATATTAAGGATAATCTGGTAAACACCATCACACTGATGATGATACATCACATGACTGCCTTCAGGCTTCATGTGATGTATCATCATTCAGAGGAAAGCCGCAGCTTCACCAATCATTGATGACAGCGGGTCAAACAGACAGAGGCCTGCAGATACAGTCATTCTGTAACCTACGTCAGGTTTCAGGAGCAGGCACCATGGGATCATAACGTAAGCCTGCATGCACAGAAGGTTCTCTACACTTCTCCATCTACTTTAAGACATCTGTAAACAAGTCCATGTACCTGGTACTGCAAAATTCCCAAAACTGCTAAATTGTAACTTTATGTATTTGTTGATTATTTTTAAAAGGGGAAACTCCACAGAGTTTGAAAGACATGGGCATTTACAGTAACAAGCAAGGAAGCTCTAGTCAAAACACATTATCTGGACAGCAAGACAGCAAATAACCATGTTCTAATATGTGACTTGTATTTCCAAAATATGTGTAATTCGTTAGTGTTCTTCAGCTGGAACCAAGACACCATGCCTGCTCAAGTGTACATTAGAGAGTAAGGGTTGATAAAACAGCTTTACCTACACAGAGATTATCAAAATATCAACATCTGAACAAGGTTTATAGAGATGAATGTTGACACAAATGCTGTGCCCACCTTGGTGGCCAATGAGTGTGAAGCCCCGGCCTCCAGCAGCACAGAGGCCGTCTGCACGTGCCCCTCCCTGGCGGAGATGTGCAGGGGCGTGTAGCCGTTGGTTGTGGCAGCATCAGGATGGGCCATGTGTTGCAGCAGCAGCTGGACAATCTCTGTTTTACCCAGACGCGACGCAATGTGGAGGGGAGTCTGGTCCTCCTAAAGACAACACAGTGGAAAATAATAAACACTTGTTTTTCACCAGGGCAACATGCTATAATACAGTGTCTTCCACATGTGTGCTAATGGGAGGACAGTACTCGTGCCCGTGCGTCCACCATCGCTCCATTCCTCAACAGACATCGGACCACTTCCACCTGACCTGCTCTGGCTGCCATGTGTAACGCCGTTTCTCCACGCTGTAAACACATCACACAGCATCGTGTAGGTCAGAAGAGCCAGTGCACACACGGTGAACATACACATGCACACTTAAACTAGCATATCACAATAATACCAATAATAGTACCTACAAGAATATTATCTGACACTTATTCTCACTAAAAATTACTTGACAATGTATTATTATACTACCTGTGTGTATAGAGAATGTGAAGTTGTCGTCGCAATGTGTTGAATTTTGGGTAAATGTGCCATTATGGAAGATCACACTCATTATCAGAAATTTACACTATGTGCATCTATAAATTCATTTAAAAAAATATTATCCAATACAGCTACACACAACAGTGGATGCTTGACCTACGTCCGAACGTCCAGTTTAGTGTTCAGTTTGAGCACAGACAGGACAGAATTTTATTCATCTGCAATGTTTGTGTTATCTGCCGACAGCTGCTAGCTAGCGTTAGCTCCTGAACTGAGAGCTGAGGGAGAGTCTGCCGTTCTTGTTGATGGGATCTCAGTCAGCTAAGGTCATCCATTCTGAATTGCCACAATCAATAAAGTGAATTAGCACAACCAGTAATCCCCACCAAAATGGCGCCCCCGTCCCAACATTCAACACAGCATGATATACCTTTACATTAACAAATGCTATTGTCATGGACCCTAGCCTATAAACACAACTTTTCCCCGCACAAATGTTACATCTGGAACAACCAATATATAACTCATAAGAATAAATCTCTATTTCTTTATAATTGGTTTGAAAATAATATCCTGTTGGTGAAACAGCTTTTAAATGACCAGGGTGTTCCTTTGACATTTGAAGAACTGAAAAATCGATTTAACTTTAGTCCTACACTAAAGGAATACTCATTGACTATTGGAGCGATTCCCTCTGGACTGCTGATGCTCTTCAAGAACCTGGACAATGATACGGATGACTCCTCTTTTCTATTGGATCCAGCCGACACGTTCATAGGGAAAACATGTTTCACCACTATAAGAAAGAAGAACAATCAAGCTATTCGGACTATTTTTCAACAGGATGTAGTGTCTATGCCATATATTATATCCTACTGGAATATTTTCGTTCCGGGCATTTGCTGGGATAAAGTATGGTTATTGCCTTTTAAATATATGATCAGTAATAAAATAAGAGAGGTCTCCTTTAAGTTCATTCACAGATTTTACCCATCTCAGCGCACTTCCGCTTTTCCGCAGAACGCGGGTGACACAACAGTAGTAACGCGAAACACATTCTTTGAGCTCGTTTTATTTGATTAGTTCGTAAATAAAAAAATAAAAATGTCTTTTTTCAAGACACAAATACCAGAAGCGGGATCATCCAAACAGTGATTTATGCTGCGTACCTCAATGCGCGATGTCAGGGAAGTTCAATTCACCATAAGCTTTCACCATTTCCCTAAGGATGAAACCTTAAGAAAAATATGGATCCGTAATGTATGTACAGTGCCTTGCGAAAGTAATCGGCCCCCTTGAACTTTGCAACCTTTTGCCACATTTCAGGCTTCAAACATAAAGATATAAAACTGTAATTTTTTGTGAAGAATCAACAACAAGTGGGACACAATCATGAAGTGGAACGAAATTTATTGGATATTTCAAACTTTTTTAACAAATAAAAAACTGAAAAATTGGGCGTGCAAAATTATTCAACCCCCTTAAGTTAATACGTTGTAGCGCCACCTTTTGCTGCGATTACAGCTGTAAATCGCTTGGGGTATGTCTCTATCAGTTTTGCACATCGAGAGACTGAAATTTTTGCCCATGCCTCCTTGCAAAACAGCTCGAGCTCAGTGAGGTTGGATGGAGAGCATTTGTGAACAGCAGTTTTCAGTTCTTTCCACAGATTCTCGATTGGATTCAGGTCTGGACTTTGACTTGGCCATTCTAACACCTGGATATGTTTATTTGTGAACCATTCCATTGTAGATTTTGCTTTATGTTTTGGATCATTGTCTTGTTGGAAGACAAATCTCCATCCCAGTCTCAGGTCTTTTGCAGACTCCATCAGGTTTCCTTCCAGAATGGTCCTGTATTTGGCTCCATCCATCTTCCCATCAATTTTAACCATCTTCCCTGTCCCTGCTGAAGAAAAGCAGGCCCAAAACATGATGCTGCCACCACCATGTTTGACAATGGGGATGGTGTGTTCAGGGTGATGAGCTGTGCTGCTTTTACGCCAAACATAACGTTTTGCATTGTTGCCAAAAAGTTCGATTTTGGTTTCATCTGACCAGAGCACCTTCTTCCACATGTTTGGTGTGTCTCCCAGGTGGCTTGTGGCAAACTTTAAACGACACTTTTTATGGATATCTTTAAGAAATGGCTTTCTTCTTGCCACTCTTCCATAAAGGCCAGATTTGTGCAGTATACGACTGATTGTTGTCCTATGGACAGAGTCTCCCACCTCAGCTGTAGATCTCTGCAGTTCATCCAGAGTGATCATGGGCCTCTTGGCTGCATCTCTGATCAGTCTTCTCCTTGTATGAGCTGAAAGTTTAGAGGGACGGCCAGGTCTTGGTAGATTTGCAGTGGTCTGATACTCCTTCCATTTCAATATTATCGCTTGCACAGTGCTCCTTGGGATGTTTAAAGCTTGGGAAATCTTTTTGTATCCAAATCCGGCTTTAAACTTCTCCACAACAGTATCTCGGACCTGCCTGGTGTGTTCCTTGTTCTTCATGATGCTCTCTGCGCTTTAAACAGACCTCTGAGACTATCACAGTGCAGGTGCATTTATACGGAGACTTGATTACACACAGGTGGATTCTATTTATCATCATTAGTCATTTAGGTCAACATTGGATCATTCAGAGATCCTCACTGAACTTCTGGAGAGAGTTTGCTGCACTGAAAGTAAAGGGGCTGAATAATTTTGCACGCCCAATTATTCAGTTTTTTATTTGTTAAAAAAGTTTGAAATATCCAATAAATTTCATTCCACTTCATGATTGTGTCCCACTTGTTGTTGATTCTTCACAAAAAATTACAGTTTTATATCTTTATGTTTGAAGCCTGAAATGTGGCAAAAGGTCGCAAAGTTCAAGGGGGCCGAATACTTTCGCAAGGCACTGTAAAAATTACTGCAGGTAGTGCAATGTAGGCCTAACTTCACAAAGGTTTATTCAGCTACTGTACAATGCTGACAAAATACTAAAGTACAGCTAAAGCTTATATATGTAAGGCTCCTGACAAAGGATCTCCCAGTTCTCCCAGGTCATTTTTCACAGAAACACCTTTTTATATTACAGTCCACACCAACAACACAGCCCAAAACAGCGCTGATTCACCCAAAGGACCACAGGCAAAACCAACACCACACGCCCAGGCATCCTGCACCTCCAAACTGCATGCAGGCAGATGCAAGACGAAAGACCCTGAACCCACCAGGCCTATACATTATATCCCTTCGGTTGGGCTAGCCCCATACTACACAGAAACGTCAACCGAGACGTCTCTGTTGCCAGCTTTGCAGCTGGCTCTAGCAATAGTCAAAACATGAAGCAAATCAACGTGTGAATGTGTGTGTCTGTTGGTTAAGTGGTGTATAGCTAAAAACATTCTCACGACCTCTAGTACATGTCATGACTTAAACATAAGAACATATTATGGGTAAGGCTACAGTTATACACGTCGTAATCATAGTATTAAACACCCTGTCTGCTGACAGTCATCAACTCTTCTCTCTAGTATCCTTTTGTAATTAAGAGGACGACAACAGTATGTAGTAGACACTTAGTCTCCACAGATGTAATTCAAGGTGGACGACGGCGTTTGAAAGAAGGAGCCGTTCCAGTGCTGTTTGTCTGGAATGACTACTCTCTGCTTACAAGTAGACCAAGCGTGTGGGAGAGAACGCAACGGCCGGAGGAAATTGAGGAGGAACAGATGGACGTCGGATTTCTGCTTCAGTGTCATGACTATGCTAGACCAGAACCATCAGCCTTGGACATGGCATGTGAAAAATTAGAAGTCCAGCAGTTTGGGAATTTAGCATTTCCATCACACAAGCTTGGTTACTATTAGCTTTCCGGTAGTGTATTACATTATTTTGGTGTACCAGACAGATGTTTGGTGTAAATATCGACAACATTAGCTAGTTAGATTACGAACTAGCTTAGCTACATCTCCGTTTGTAAGATAACCGATACATAACTCTACTTTCGTAGTCGTGGATGTCTGAAGAAGCATATAGCTTAAACCCCTTATCCAGCTTGCTGCCCGGTGTTTTAGACATCGAACTGCATATTCGATGGACATCCGTGATCTTCATCTTTGGTAGTTCTTAGAGACATCTTGAGTAGAGCAGTGCCATACTTCATACTAGTCGCAAACCGGAAACGGATGATTCTGTTTTGCAGTATACGGAAGTCAAATGCGCATAACCCCTATTTCCCGTTACTCACAATATTGCTGACGTCCGGCGAGGCTCCATTCTGCAGCAGCAGCAGGACGATGTTCAAGTGACCCATGAAGGCTGCTACGTGAATGGGAGTCAAACCAGACTGGACACGAGGTGATAGGCAGATGAGGGAACAGAGGATAAAATATAAGTTATGTCAAATGCTCATAGAGATCATAAAATGTAAATGTAAAATAAATCATATGTTCCAGCTTATAATGTCCAATTGTTTATAAGACAGCACTTATCCTCCATGTAGGGGCATTGTGTCATTTCAAAATGGCTGTACAATAGGTCTTTTTCCCACATCAGACATTTTGCATGTCATAACAGGAAAAGCTAATGTGTAACTGAAACTGGGACACTTGATGCAACTCAGCCATGATTATCTAAATTTGTTTCACCTGTGTTTGTGCTGCTGTGACAACTCAAAATGGCTGCTGCAAAAATAATCTATACTTGGATCATTGTTCAGCATCAACCTTTCCTAAACATAACTGAACAAAAGCACAAATTCCTGGGCTGTCACTGGGATTTACCTCCAGTTTTAAAATTGGCAAAAATAGTGACGATTGTATAAACATTTCCAGCATCTTCTGTGCTACCAAACTAAACCATTCATCCATTATCTACAACACTTAGCCTGTAGAGGGTGGCCTATCCCAGCTGACACTGAGTGAGAGGCAGGGTACATTTTGGACAGGACACACAGTGGAAACTGACAACTACTCACTCACATTCACACCAGGGTAATTTAGAGTTGCCAGTCAACCTAACCTACACGTCTTTGCACTACAGGAAGAAGCTGAAGTACCCGAAGAAACTTCACACAGACACAAGGAGAACATGCAAACTCCACACAGAAAGGCTGTGGATGGGAACCTTCTTGCTGTGAGGCCACAGTGCTAACCACGGCACTATCATGCTCAACTAAACCAGCTGTGTGATAAATTAGTAAATTTGATTTGTAAGCAATACTACCTTAATACTAAAATAAGAAGGAAAATAAACTTCAATTCTTTAGATACTGCTGTAGAATACATAGTTCACAAACTATACGACTCCCCTTTATTTGTTACACTATGTTTCACCATTTATTTTTATATTGTAATTGTTACTTGTGGCCACAGTGACCACATTAAAAAAATTTGAGATCATCTTGCTAACATTGTATGCTTATGTTAGCATCGGGTGACTTAAGCAGCATTTTAAGCTTCTTGCCAAAAAGATAAATAGGAAAATTCACATGAATATGTATAAAGCCAGAATGAAGCAAAATGTCCAGATCTGGCCTATTTTAATTTCAATGCCTTTTTAATTAATATTTTTTTGACATTTTGGCATAAAGATTAGAGATTGACCTCCTGTATATACACCTACCTAGACTTCCTCTTTGATATTACTGTGTGGTAAAGTCAGATATATGACAACAAGAAAATTTCCACCTAACTGTTAGTTTCATTTATAGTAGTTCAAATACATTTTCAACATTTCCACTGATTTAATGTCACTCAGGGGTTTGAAGTACCTCTGTGATGGCCTGAATAGAGGCTCCATATTTGACCAGCAGCTCCATGACCTTTACACGGTTTTTCTTACAGGCTATGTGCAGTGGAGTAAACCCATTCTGTAGAGGAAACATGGTGCAAACATACAATGAAGGATATAGTCTACATGCTGTACATAGTTAATTTAAATAACTCTTTTAGACAATCTCAGATGCATTCCATTTCTGATATTGTACCTTCAATTGCTACATTTTTATAAAACACTATTTTAAGATAAATAAACATCTTAAAGGTCTTTCCTGTATCTGGTCCAATTCCCACATGGACACTGCTGAGGTTACACAATATCTTTGTATCGTACCAGTGCCCTGGCATTGGGGTTGGCCCTCTTGTCCAGCAGCAGTTTGGTGACTCTGTAATGACCGCAGTGTGCTGCCACATGTAGTGCTGTCAGGTAGTCCAAGGTGACGTCATCAACAGGCGCCTTGTGCTGCAAAAGATGTTTGACGCATTCAACGTGGTCACCTTGTGCCGCCATGTGGAGAGGAGACAGCCCATTCTGAAACGTGAAAGAGGGTTATTAAGTCTGATGAAGACAAAAGGACAGAGTATTTTTGAACGAACAGTTTGAAGAATGAATAATATTGTCAGGTTCACAGATTAGTCATGAACAGAACAATGAAAAATGTTCTGATTAAATGTGTAAGTGGGCTGACTATTGTAAAAGTGTATTCCACATAAAGTCAGGCTGCTCCTTGAAATAGTTCTTGACTGTACCATGAAGAGGTTACAAAGCTTCACAGACCCATATTCGGAAACTGAACTTAGAGAAGCATGATGGCTTCCAGGTGTAAATGCATCCTGTAAAAGGACATGTGGCACACCTTGGTCCTGGCCAGTAAGGGTGCTCCTCTCTCCAGCAGCAGCTCCACAGCTGTATCATGTCCACTCCGGGCCGCACAGTGGAGCGGAGTGAGACCATCCTACAGAACACACACACACACACACACACATTTGCACAGAAACTTATCTTATAGTCATTCACTACTTACTGATACTGACCTGGAGGCTAAGGAGCAAAAGTGATATAAGATATAACTTTGCATTACAGCTTAAATGCAGATGTTTCTTTTTGAAGGTTACTCAGGTTCATTCAGGTTAACAGCTTAACCTGAAAAAGACCTCAACAGCGGCTGTAACAGCTGTTATAGTCAAATGTAGCAGCACAAGCATTTTACTTGTGTTTCATCAGTAATAACAAGTGTGGAAAAAAGGACCTGACCAAGTGAAGTGGAGGGAAAAATTCTATATCGTGTTGAGGCTTAAAGCTTAATTCCATCTAAACGATGTTCGGTTCGGTCTACAGACCAATGATCCTGGACCTTTATCTGAGTTCTGTTATCCATGATACTCACCCTTGTTTTAGCATCAATCTGAGAGCCACGATCCAGTAACAGGCGAACCATGTTGGTGTTCCCACGCTTAGAGGCCACATGTAGGGGAGTTATCCCATTCTGTAGAAGAGACAAAAATGATTTTAGTGACCTATAATTTGTCCTAGTCGGGCAAATTATTCATTAAAAGGTTAATGAAAATAACTCCACAAACTACTGAATCAATAACTGTCAAATCTAATAAAAATAATTTAAAAATCCAACTTAAATACAGTTTAAAAGTAATAAACTTTTGAGTAGAGTATCTCTTCTAGATTTACTAATAGACTAAACGTCTCATAAATTAAACATTTTATTTGAAAATAAATCTATTTCCATTTTAATATTATCTTGTGCTTTTCAGTTCTCTTTTTGTCTGTTCACTGAAATGATGTTCAAAACAATAAAAATGTTTTGTTGAGCAATTTTGTGCAGACCCAACTGACCTACACCTGTTAAAGAAACCTTATTTTACCTATAACTCTGAACCAGTAAAGGCTGGAGCCATCTCAACGTGTCAAATGGTATCCTGTCTTCTTTCAACAAAGAATAGGTGCATATCTCTGTTAGCAGTTTAAATCTCTGCAGCCTCCTTTCTGGCCACACAAGCAATCTAATGAGGCTCAGGAGAAATGCTTCTGAACTACAAATATTTCAGTGGAACACTATGTGTGCATAATTTATTAAATTTATTTGACTGCAAGTTGAAAACATATTTTTAACCACATGGTTGTTTGTAAATAGGACGTCTGAATGTATTTTCTGCATAATGTTGATTAAAGGGACAAATTCACATTATAAAGCTCTGATCAGAAACAAGTCTTTTGAACTGCTGAGTCAGTCGTGAATGAGGACAGAGATGGGGGGCAGTTGGTCAGACAACCAGTCTTACAGTTTAAGTCTGGCCTTTTCAAAGCCATTTGCCTCAGTTAAAACCACTTTGTCCGAGTTGTGTCTTGATCCGTGAATAGACAAGGCGCCCCTTGAAGAGGGCCTTTTTTGTGTGAGTGCTTGTAGATCTTGGAGCCCACACACCGTGACAACTCAGGAGAAAAGCACAACAAGAGGGCGGAGGGAGACGACCTCAGATTCACTGACTGTTTAACTCAAATTTGTTAGGGAAGCTGCAGGAGATCTACACCTTCATGAAAAGAACACGTCGCCCCCACTGTCATAGCACGTGTGCCATATTAAGAAATGCGCTGAAAATACAAAAATGCTCCAAGCTGTACACGAACCAATGGGTGTTTCTGTCGGACGCTAAAAAGTGGCAGACATGTAGCATGCAATTTGCTTTAATAATGTTGAAAAATGTCACTCAAGATGCTGCATACCAGGAGAACAGCCATTCACACAACATGAACCTCAGAACTATGAAGTGGCAAGGGGCCAGCAAAAAGTAACCCCAGCAGACAGCGGGTTGTCCAAGGTGAACCCATTTGGGATTAGTTATCTAAGCTGTGACGTTTAGTGCAGACTGGATAAATCCAAGGCCAGTAAAAGAAGCCAAGAATCAAGACAAAGATGCATAAGATCAGGCCACTTTGGCTGCCAATATTACAAACAGGATACAAGGACATCCTGAGGTGAAGATGGGTAAAGCGAGTGTGGACCACCAGTCAAAAGAAAAGGTGGGGTTTCATTTAAAACACTTGGTTAAGGTGGTCTCTGGTATGGAACCCTCACCTTTCCTCTCCCTATTTAAAGGACACACTGCCTTGGTGCTGAATAGTGGCACAGTATGTAGATGGTGAACTACAGAGTCGAATTAATTCATGTAGGGATATCCAGCTGAAAGTGATAAAAACGTTTCTTTAATGTGCTGTCCAATTTGCATGTTATACCCACAATGTACAGTGTAGCTCTGCACTACAGAGTGCATGTAGCAATACGTGTATTGGAGCATGAAACTAAAGAAAGGAATGGACTCCATGTGATGGGGAGTAAGTAAAGTTTTTCAGTAATACAGAGCATCTCAAACAAGTGACTTGTGTAGATGGACATAAGAAAATTCTAAGATGAGACTGAGACAGGGAAGACGTTCGGAGAGATGAGGCTGAAAGAGATAAGACCTGACTATAGTTGGTAAACAAGCTAACGTTAGTTAGTACATAACCTGGCACGGATGTTGAATGAGTTAAATCAGAGCTTTGTACATCAATGTATGTGATCAACTGGACTGCTCTTAAAACGCTATTTATCAGTGTACTACATGAAATCATACATCATATGTAGTGGTCTATGTTAACTTTGGACTGTTCATTCTGAATTTAAAGAATATAATATAATATTTGATGCTCCTGTCATACAGTCCTAATGATATCTGTTTAACAAAGGAACCTTAGGCAGAAAGGGAAAGTGTGGAGGAAGCTGTGTGTCTATGGAGACAGGTGCGTGACCATCCACTGAAGTAGATGGACCGTCAACATTTTATGGGGACTTAAGAGTTACAAAAAAATTATTACATTGTTTTTCTTTTTAATTAATGATTTGTTGATAGATTCACTTGTGAAAATTTAAATTTGACAAATCAAATCAGGGAGGCTTGACAATCAAATTATATGCCAAACTTTCATGCCATATAACATGTTGACTCAATCTATGTTGAAATAAATATTTTCATAAAGATTAGTATCTACATGTATACCTTTACCAGTAGTGTTTTCAATAGTGGCAGTATGGCCGTGAAATAGTGGGCTAAGCAAGGGAAGTTCACATAACACAATGTATAGCGCATTTCATTCATGCAGCTGACATTCAAGAAAAAAGTTGTGTGATTTGAGTAATGGGTGGCCCGTGCCCCCGTAGAGCTTCATGTCTAGCAACACCCCTGGCGTTCATTTAGGTTGCAGTGTGCTGAGATCTCTTGAACAGTAATTTATAATGTTTTCCAGATTTAGAGATGTGTATGACATTAAACACAACAGCCCTGAGACTGTGAGACGCCAATAATTTTGTGCATTTTGTGGTATCACACCCTCG